GGAAGAGGAGCTTACCTGTTGCGACCTACCAGCGCCATAGCTGGGCTCTCCTGCAGTCCCCAGGTAAGTGGGAACAGAAAGCGCCTAGCTTTCTCCTTCTTCTTCTCCTCCCCTTCTTCTTCTTCTTCTTCTCCTCCTCTCCTCTTCTCCTCCTACTCCTCCGAAGTTCTTCTTCTTCTTCTTCTTCTTCTTCTTCTTCTTCAGAGTAGAGATAGAGGTAACTGCAGACATTGTTTGGACACGGTTTTCTGCCTTATTGGACGCGACATTCAGATCGGACTTACACTCTACACTGGGATTGAACTGTGTACGACATTCGGAGATCAGACTTGGGTTGGAGTTGGTTACCTCCTATGTCTCTCCCCTTTCTCTCTCGCATGTCTATGGATCTCTTCCCATGTGTGTGAGCGGAAGGGCAATCTTTCTGATGTCCTGCCCTTCCGAAGTTTCCCTCTTTCATGTTTGTCTGTCCTCGTGTCCTTTGGTTACTAAGACTTCCGCTGTGCTGCTTCCCAGCCCATGATGATGATACAAATGTGTTGTTGTTGATTTCTCGTTGGTTTACTCTTTGCATTCTGCAAATTGGCATCTTGTGAATGTTGCATCTATGCTGCCAGTTGTTGCCACTTTCATCATTGCTAGATCTTAGGCTCTCGGTGCATTTCACTTCCTGATATGCTACACTCATGTGACCCCAGGCGTCGCCAAATGAACGACGACCCGACACAATGTTGCCAAATAAACCCAGACCCAACACATACGGCAAGCTCACGTCCATTTTCTGAAAAAAAGTTCAGTTGCAGGCTGTGGAGCCTGGCTCTTTACTACAGCATCTTAGGAATTCTCAAACAAAGTTGGGGACTTTCCTCGAAGTCTTCCTGTGAAGCACAACCCTCAAGCACCAGACTTGCACACACTGATAATAATCACAAAAAAATGTGATTTAAATACCTATGAGGCTATGGCGATTTATTCACAGAACCCGGAGTGCAAAATCCCTAAAATCGCAACGGTCAAAATGGCGGGCCAAAAAACAAACGAAGAATGGCGGCTGAGGATGCCATGTAGCACAGTAATTCGTTTCACCATCTGCAACCTAGCACCACGGTTGCACTAAGGAGGGCAACTGCAGCCAAGCGTGAGCCAAACCATCAACCATCAACGAACACTGCGCGCAACCAAGAAGAATACTCTCTGATCGAGAGAAAGTCGGCAGCCTAAATTGGCTGGTTAGGCATGCAAGTGACATTGAGGTGGTTGCAATCACTGAAAGGACGGCCAACTCCGACCAACAGACAGACAGCAACCAAAATTGGCTGGCTAGGCATGCAAGTGACATCGAGGTGGTTGCAATCACCGAAAGGAGGGCCAACTGCAGCCAAGTGCCAACCAAACCATCACCATCAACAAACAATATGCAGCCAAGAAGGATATTCTTTAACAGACAGCCTGCAGCCTAGATCAGCTGGTTAGGCATGCAAGTGGCATTCAGGTGGTTGGGGGTTCGATCCTCACGGAGCACCTAGCGTACGCTTGGTGCCTACCAACTAGAGATAGCCTGCTGCCTCCGCCTGATCGGCATAAGTATGGGTCTCAAGCTAACATGGTTGGCTTGTGATACTGCTGTCGTTTGATGGGGAGCAGGGGCAAACAACCAGGAGTCGACTGGCAACATATAGAAAGGATACCCGTAGGCCCACACTGGTGACATCCACCCTGAGCGCCATTGAGATGGGGCGAGATCCAGGAAGAGAACACGGTTGCTGGGGTTCCCATGTGGAATACAGTGTTGTTCTCAGGGAGTGGGGCATAAAATCACGGGATTAATAACGACTCTCGATTACCTGGGGCCAGTCCTTTGTCGGATACCTCTTTTTCTTTTTCTTTTTCGAGGTAAGTACGTTCACATCACTTTTGAGTATT